TGTCATACCAAGGTATTGTATCTCACTTATTTCTTACTGACTTCCATGGCTCCGTCTGTTCTCCTACTCTTTTTAATACTTCCTCATTTCAAACCTTTCCTGTCCATGGTATCCTCATCATTCGTCTGCAACACTACATATCGAAAGCTTCTAATCTTTTCTTTTCCACCTATTTTAATTTCTAAATTAATTGTTTGCGAGCATAGAAGTGACTTCTTTTTGTTAAATGCCATTCGACCCTTCGTTATATCCTCTGCTTTATAGTAAAAGTAACTTTTTAAAATTTACTAAATTTTCGAAATCATGATAAGAAGATGTTGAATTAGGAGTAACAGCGAACTTAACCATTTTGAAGGGCAAATAGTATGATTTCGATGTAGCTAATTGTATATCGGTTACTTAGGTACTACAAAATCTAAATTTTAATTTTAACATTTCAATTTTCACAAACAAACACATTTTCTGTTAAAATTTCCTTGATTACTTGTCAAATGTTCAAAATGATATTTTTAAATAAATATACACGAAGGTGAAGTTCACTGATCATTAGTTCTTTTCTAATTTATTTTGTTTCTTTAAGTTTAAGATCTGGGTTCTCCGAAACAACAGAAATTTCACTTTGGCAATTTCACAACATTCTGACGAATTCTCCTAATGCCATAGTAGCTTTGCAGATTTAGAATTTTCGCGTTGTTCGTTGGGCCAAATAAAAATAGGTTTCGAAGCGTTGAAATGTTAAATAATTTCTATTTATAATTTATGCTTGCAGCATTTATTAGCATAAATAAACGGCTAATGCATGAATTAACGCATAAATAGATATTATAGTGGATGCAATTATCGATTGGAAAACCGTTACATCCCACTAAAAACAATAAATCATCACTTTATCTTTAAATTAGGTAGAGTTGTTTATTCCATCGTTATTAGCAGGAAGAAATCCATATTTTTTAGTATCTGAAGTTACGTTTTGGTAATAAAATAATGATAAGTTGTAAGCATTCTCTAAAATTATGTGACAAATATACGAAAAGTTGGTGAACACCTTCTTTTTGCAAATTTTGTCAGAGTTGAACTTGGTTAAAAACTTATAAAGCCAGAAATTAGCAGAGTTAGCAATTAGATTTACTTTAAAGGGGCTGTTGGGAGTTTTTGCAAAACTCAAATTCTAAGGAACTAAAAAGACGATTCAAAATTATGAACTGGTTCTACTGGCGTGAAACAAATAATGAAATATATAAAATTATCACCTATCTCGTATTTTTAATTATTATTTTCTTCATTTGGGATATCTAATGATGAACAAATCAAAACCAAGATCAAAACTGTCCTAATCTTGGAATTGGTCTTGTTCATATACTTCTAATCTTGGTCTGGGCTTTGCGTGTTAAGTCTTGATCTTGCTCATTTAATTTGATTCGTTTTTTTAAATAATTCTTCTAAGTACAAAATTTTCTATTTACCGTCTCAATAGTTGTCTTAAATGCTGAAATTTTTTGTCATACATGCGAGCTTATCGTGACTTTTATATATATTAAAATATAGTACAAGATATTTGAAGGAAGTAAGAAATATAAAAAAAATAGTTTGTAAAGTTTCTTTTTTTTATATTTAAATCTATAGTAGTTAAGCAAACTTAAAATTTCAAAAATTAAAAACGTTTTGTTTCAAGAAATGATTATATTAAAGTTGCTTCAAACAGTTTAACTCATAAATCCATCGGAAATAATGATTTTTCGTTTAGTCTTACGTATTTGACCTTGGTCTTGCATGTTCACTTTAGTTTTAGTCTTACTTTTGTTGCTTCCTGACGTTTCACCAGTACGAGTGGCGAGCTTCTTCAGAGATGGAAGGACCTTTGAAGAAGTTACCAATTTGTTTTATGAAACGTTGTCTATTTATTAACGCAAATGTATAATGAAGTTTTTCAAATATTATACATTGATTGACAGATTGACACTTGTTGTTTCCTATACAATTATTTTCTTTTAGTTTTCCGGTTTGAAAATAGACGTATGAGAAAATATTTCAGTTCCCTACCTATACGTTCGGCAATGTGTTTTCTTGGCTTGATCCACTAAACCACTTGGACGGTTCGTTCACAATTTATTTGTTCCAGACCTTGACTCACACTTTTACCTGGTCCAACGCCCACACTCTCTTACCTTCTTAACCGTTCTGTGTTTGTAAATAACCGAAGCAGCTGTTGTATTATCCAATGTTCCAAGACCACATTCTCTGATTTATTTTTAGCCAAGTGCTTCGAATAAGATGGGATATTGAGCAGAGCATAGCAGGATATTAGAGAGATATTTATGAGGGAAAAACAACACTTGTTTTCTTATTTACTTCCTGGTTGGTAGGCACGCTATGTTGACGCTACTGGGAAAATGTTGGAGTTATCAAATACGAAACTACTTTACATTAGGGAGTCAGATAAGTTAGGACGGAAACAACGTTAGAGATATAAAGTAAAAGATACAGTTTCCGGTCGCTATTAACAAAAAAAAAATACTCTTGTGTTCGTAATTGGTTATTATCTAATTTGGAAATTCAAAAAATATTGTTACATGAGTATGTTTGGAGCACAACTCTGTATGAATATTAGAAGTGTTTGAGAGATGGTCTCAGATACGAAAAAATATCGTGGATAAAAATAGTTAAAAATAAAGAGAAATTAGAAATAGTAGGAAATCAGAAGTTAATAAGAAACAGACGAGATGGGTTGGTTCAAGACAAAGTAAAACATAAATGTTCGGCACCTCCACCATAAATTTATTGATACATTACATAGTTAAGGGAATAGTTCAATTTACAAGCGCATAGCTATTATAGGGCTAGGTGGTGCGGTGCACTAAAGTCCGAAGCGCTCAAGGTGCCGCCGCTCGGCAAAAATAATGGTTGAACAGATTAATTTTTTGGATACTTTATGTCATCTCTATTTATTATACATTCTACATAATAAAATTAGATATTAGAAGGTGGGGAGATAGTTTTTTATGACTTCAAAATTAAAAAAAAAATTTTTTTAAGTGAGAATTTTTCAAAATTCAATCCACAGTTCTAAACTGTAGGTACGGGAAGAGATGGGTGAGGAGATCAGAGGCGGAAGAGGGAGGGATGTTAAAAGTTATACAAGCTTTTAATCTCCTTATCTCACGATTGTCACTGCTTAAAATTCTTTTATTAACATTGAAAGAAGAAATAGCTATACATATACCATATGCCCTATGGTGTATGCTGTAATAAAAAAGAATGTGTCTCCTCCGCCTCAAATATAATCATTGAACCCTCAGAAGTAACCAGAAATTGAGGAAAAAAGTTTTGGAGTGATTTTGGTCTGGAACCCCAATTCTACGTATTGGATGAAATTCTGATATTGTATTAGAAAATTTATAAAACTAAAGCTTTCTGTGAATAAAATACTCTAAAAAAAATTTTTTTTGAGTTAGAATTTTTCAAAATTCAATCCACAGTTCTAAACTGTAGGTACGGGAAGAGATGGGTGAGAAGATCAGAGGCAGAAGGGGGAGGGATTTTAAAGGTTATACAAGCTTTTAATCTCCTTATCTCACGATTGTCACTGCATAAAATTCATTTATTAACATTAAAAAAAGAAATAGCTATACATATACCATATGCCCTATGATGTATGCTGTAATAAAAAAGAATGTGTCTCCTCCGCCTCAAATATAATCATTGAACCCTCAGAAGTAACCAGAAATTGATGAAAAAATTTTTGGAATGATTTTGGTCTGGAGCCCCAATTCTAGGTATTGGATGAAATTCTGATATTGTACTAGGAAATTTATAAAACTGAAGCTTTCTGTGAATAAAATACTTTAAAATATCAGCACGCCTTCGGCGGACAAAGGCATTAAATAAACTCCAATCATAAATCTACCTAACCAAACAATGACGTCAGCAATGCAGGTGATTATGGAGAATTGGGGCAATTTTGAAAAAAAAATTTTTTTTTTATTTATGAAGTTTAGTCTCGATGTGCTAATTGTTGGAGAGTAAGGTAAATAAAACTAAATAACAACTGCAAATAACAGCAACAACGATAACACTTATATTTTACAAAACTTAACAAGGAGCAGAGTAGGTAGAGAACAGATAGAGATGATAACTCAAGCGAAGGTTGGTAAGAACTACTTTCTCAAAATCATTTTTCCAAAAAGGAAATGTTAGAAAAACTAGGAAGGAGGAGCTGATCGTTGATAGATGAAAGTAGGGTACCAATAGAGTTGAACGATATAAGAGTAGGGTAGTAGTAGTGGTACCGAGGGTTGAAAGTACCGAAATAATGAAATGCTAGGAATTAGAATATAGTCCCAAATCACCGAAGAAACCCATCATAAAATTGCCATTAAGAAAAGATAAATGCTATAGACGTCATGCGGTTAGTATGCGAAGTTGAAATGTTAATAGGGATTATAGGAAAGTACAAGCAATAAAGTTATTTAGATATAGAAATAGAATACAAAAGAATTAAGACCCAAAAGAATTCGAATACAATAAATGAAATAGATATTTACAAGTTGGAGAATAACAATAACATTTTCATTGGAAGTATATACAAAAGATTCAGATATTAAGCCATTGTCGAAAGTATGATTAAAATCCCGTTTTATTCGTATGTTGCGATAACCGCCACAGAAGTCATAAAAACCTGTGTCCCCCACCTTCTAATGTCTAATTCTATTATGTAGAATGACCGGAAATCAATGAAAAAATTTTTGGATTGATTTTGGCCTGGAGCCCCAAGTCTGGACAATTACCCACTAGCCTATTAAAATCTGGAAAACTCAATGATTTTCCAAGAATAATAAGTGTAATTTTTCTTATATTATTTTGTCTAAACACATCCAACCCACATATTAGTATGAAATACATAATTTTGGGTCATAGTTTCGACCTTCACGTGGAAATGAAGATGTTTACTAAACTAAAGTTGTACGTGTCATAAAACAGTTTCAGTATTAACTTTTTTTCAGGTGTAAGGATGGGGCGACCATCTCCAGCGATCAGGGTCTTCATCAAGTGGTCCACAGTGGCAACACTGTCCAGTTAGTTTTGAACCGTGTCCGAAAAGATGACGCTGGTATTTACACTGTGGAAGCACGATCTCCTTATGGACACGCGACAAGAGATATAGAATTGCGTGTCAGAGACGCTGATGGGGGAGAAAGTGGAGCTGGGGATGATGGACCGCCCGCCTTCTTACGCCGACTGAACGATCTCGCTGCCAAAGTTGGAACGAGAACGAGATTTCTGGTCGAAATTCGAAGTTCCTCGGAACTGTCGGTAAACACTAACACTTTTTCGTTAGTTTTTCACGAAAGAAATAAATGACAAATTATTATAACTATAAAATTCAACAGATATTTTAGAAGACATTCAATTATAAACTTAATCCAAATTGATCTGGATTCTTACGACTTTTGTGGCCTTTTTTCCGAGAAAGATGTAATAATAACTGTACCTATCTATCCACAAATAAAATTAGAAGTGGTAATGAGTCTATTCAAGACCAAGACCAAGACTGTCCCAGGTCATTCTTGTAGATCTCTTTCCCTTTTTTCAAGAAGTTTCTTTTTTTTATATTTGGTGTTAAAATCTAGTAGTCTTGGTCTTGTTTGTTCAGTATAGGTCTTGGTCTTAGTTTTGCTACTGTAAAGACCGTCTTCATATTGGCATTGGTCTTTTCATTTTCGCAAAACCAAGATCAAGACTGTAAGACCAAGACCAACTTTACTCATCAATAATTTGAAATTGTCACACAATAAAAATTATTTTATAAAGCTAATGCTGTCTTGATCTCACATATTTGGTCTTGGTTTGAATCTTGGTCTTGCTCGTGTAAAGACAGTCGTGGTGTTGGCATTGGTCTTTTCATTTTCGTAAGACCAAGATCCAGACTGTAAAACCAAGACCAACTTAACTCATCACTAATTTGAAATTGTCACACAATAAAAAATATTTTATGAAGCTAATGCTGTCTTGATCTCACATATTTGGTCTTGGTTTGAATCTTGGTCTTGCTCGTGTAAGGACAGTCGTGGTGTTGGCATTGGTCTTTTCATTTTCGTAAGACCAAGATCAAGACTGTAAAACCAAGACCACTAATTTGAAATTGCCACACAATAAAAATTATTTTAAGAAGCTCATGCTCTCTTGATCTCACATACTGGGTCTTGGTTTTGGTCTTGGTCTTATTCGTTTGGTCTTGGTCTTGGTCTTGTGAAATGCAATTTGCTTATTACTAACTAAAAGATATATGGAGATAAACCTTTTTATTTACCTGTTCTCTATTTTTCCATTTGCTCTTTTACACATTTTTATTTGTTATAAATTAAATTATACAAAAAGCTCATGAATTACTTCAATAGTGTATCCTGTTGTTCGTCACTTAAAATGACATGTATTTTGTTCTGTCACATAGTCGTTTTTCAAAGAATCATTGACAATGTCATTATGTTTCTAAATGTATTCTTATGGATGTACTCATTTAAATATTCGAAATAGGTGCCAAAATGACTAACGAACAAGACACAGTAGACTCGATTCGACTAAGTAAGCGACCGTTTCAATTTATATTTCGCAAATAAATCAGACTGACGTAATTCGACCACCTCAAACACGTACATTAGCGAATGTGACCGTTTTAATTGGAGAATAATAGAAGCACAGCCTGGCTGATCCCTTTCGATGTCTGCAGCGGGTTTATTTTGAGCATAAAAAATTACGGAGGACAAAATAATCCGAATACAACTGTTGTGTCGCGTTTAAATACTGGAGACGTGCAATAAATGTCTGTGGAGTTTTCTGTACACTGCAGACTTCCTTGTTCATTTCTGAATAGAGGCCATCTAACACGTGTTGGCGAAGGATTACATCAATTTTGTCAATTAGGAATAAAAATAAACAACCAAACAAATTTTCAAACAGACAGAATGCTTATAGAAGCAAACTACAGATGTAAATGTTTTGCAAAACAACTCGATGAATGTCTGATCCACAACACATAAGTTTTAGTCCTGCTAAAAACTTAAAATTAAGATTTCATTTAGTTTGAAAATAATATTACGAAACTGCAGGTAAAGGGTCAGAAATAAAACCATGTCTATAGAATGTAAAAATTTTTTTCATTAAAATGGTCCCTGATCAACTGTAGGTACAAGACTGACTGAGCCACATCAAACTAGAGATAGATATACAGAAAGTAGACAGGACTTATGTTTAGGAATATCAAGTCCTGACTTAGGATAACATCTTAGGTGTTGCAATAAGTGCTAGATTTTTTATTTAATCTTTGTGGAATCATGAGTTATCTCGGTGTTTTCACTTCTAGCCAACGTTTTGTTTACCAATTTAATTTAATTAGTAGGGTTTATGAACGTTCAGGAATTTCGATATCGTTTGTTGTTTTTAGATCGACTGGTTTCACAACGACCTCCTTCTAGTTGAAGGAGATAGATTGCAATTCGTAAACGAAGGAGGATTCCACTGCGTAGACGTGGCTCCGGTGACAGCCCAAGATGCTGGCGAATGGAACTGCATCGCGTCCAATATGTTTGGGCAATCATCGAGCTCATGTCACCTTAACGTCCTCAGTAAGAATAAAAAAAAAAGAAATAACTTCCATGTAATAAATTTGAGGAAATTTATTGTTTTGTTTGCAATTATTAAAGTAATACAATATTCTGAAAAGAATGAAATAGAAACATATCTACACATACAATTTAGACATCTTTTTAGAAGTGAGTTAGTTTAATATGAAATATTATTCTGAAAATTCATTTCTGATTAATATTTCATAGAAACATATCTACTAAGAAGTTATCAATCAAGAATCTTCTGAATTTTGCTACGAATTTCATATTATTTGTTTGTAGTACCAAAAGCCTATAAAGCACCCGTATTCCTGGAAGAATTACGAGCAATATTAACCGAACATGGCATTGTATCTCTGGAGTGTAAAGTTATTGGAGTCCCCACACCATTACTTCGTTGGTTTAAAGACGGAAAGGAAATTAAAGCAGGAGACGTCTTCGCACTGACAGCTAACCCAGATGACCCGACATCTCTGGGAACGTACACATGTGAAGCGGTTAACTGTATGGGAAAAGCATATTCCTGTTCAAAAGTGCATGTAGTTGGAAGAGGAAGCAGGGAAGGTTCACTCAAACCAGCTGAAAGGTAAAATATTGAAAATTTTTCCTTTTAGGATGATTAATTTTCTCTTGTTACTAGTCAAACTTCCAGTGGAATTCCTCCAATATTTACTCGAAATCTACAAGGAGATTCAGTTCATATAGGGGACTCGTTTATTTTATCCTGTCAACGTAAGTACCACAATATTTTCTGTTGATCCCAAAATAAAAACCTTTGTACTATAGTTAAGGCCCCACCTTGGCCTAAGAACGTGTCCTGGTACAATTCTGAAGGTCGCATTGATGACGAAGATGAATTTACTAGAACTAAATACCACTTGATGTCCGATGGACTTGGGGGATACGCGATCGAAGTTAAGTCATCCGAAGCCTGCGATCAAGGCGAATGGAAGTGTGTAGCAACAAGTGAAGATGGTGCTGTTTCCATTTCCACATGTGAAGTTAAAATGAACAGTAAGACTTATCCCTATATTAATACCAATTAATAAATGTAACATTTCTAATGAATCACTCCTTTTCGATGCAGTTCCAAAACATTTTCGAAAACCGCGATTTATGGATAGTTTGAAAGCTGTTTTAACAGAAGAGGGATTGGTGTCTTTTGAGTGTAAAGTCGTTGGTTCTCCTACGCCCCAATTGCGATGGTTTAAGGATGGCCAAGAGCTTAAACCCGGTGACGTTTACCAACTTACAGGAACGAACTCATTGGGAGCTTATTGCTGCATAGCAAGAAATTGTATGGGCGAAGCAAGAAGCACAGCTGAGCTAACTGTCGAAGATATTGAAAATCAACTAAATGAAGACGAAAGATTACAACTGCTTACAAGAAGTCAAGCCCCAAAATTTTTGCGAGGACTTAAAAGCTGCGAAGCCAAAATTAACGATGGTTTTAGGTTCACAATAGAAGGTAGCCAATATTGTATGTTCTTGATATTAGTAGTAGCTACTAATATTATTTTGTCTTTCAAGTGAGCAGAGAACCATTGGCCTCGTTGTCTTGGTATAGAGACGACCAACTTGTGGATAGTGAACCAGATCGTTACATTGTAACGCGAGAATCGTCGGGAGTTTGCCATTTGGACGTACTGCGATTGGAGTTCATGGATCAGGCAGAATGGAAATGCGTTGCAGTAAACGATTTCGGCCATTCCGTAACGTCTTGCTTCTTGAAATTGTTAATACCGAAACACTTCAGAAAACCAAAGTTTTTGGAATGCCTCCGAGCAGTATTGTCAGAAGAAGGAGCCGTGAATCTAGAATGTAAAGTTATTGGTGTACCACAACCAGTTTTGAAATGGTATAAAGATGGGAAGGAACTTAAACCTGGAGATATTCATAGAATTACATCAGGAGAAGTAAATAAATCATTTCTATTATGTATACTCGCTGGCCCAATGAATATACGTTTTTGGGATTAATCAAAGACAAGTCCTGAAAACATGCTACGTGTTGATTGGACTGTCGCACTCGTGACATTTTTCACATTCAATGCATATTTAACATTTTAAAATCGATTAATGCACGTCCCTACTACTCCTGACTTATCTGACTTCTTAGATACCTACAATCACCCACCTCTTCTAATTTTTCGTCTCCTATCTTTAATATTTGTTACAGGATGGAACATGCTGCCTTGGTACATACACATGCGAAGCAAGAAACTGTATGGGCACCGTGGCCAGTTCGGCTTCTTTACTTGGATTCGAAGACCAGACTGCTTTAAAAGATCAAAGACCGGAATTGGTTCGAGAACCATCACTTTCGACGATTCATGAAGAAAGAACTTCACAACTTTATGACACGCCCCAAGGCGACATGTCGCTGACAATTGACGACAGAGAAGTCTCCTTCTCGTTCGATGGAAAAGAAGTCTCAGTTTCATTATACGAAACTCCTGATCTCACACAAGAGGAAGCACTGCAGATTGTGGAAATGTATGCAGAGCAACTTTCTGAACACGTAACAGGTAAGTCAGGAAGGAGTTGTCATCTTGTTAATCCAATAATTTCAGTTTTATCTTGTTGATTTAACAAGAATGACAACTTCACTCGAAGCTTTTCTCTATGCCATTACAGAACATAGCATCATTGAACTTCCACCGATGAGATTTGTCAAAGAGTCTTCACATTCCGGAAATCTATTGGTAGAAGCGGTTATAATAGACGTGGAAGAAGAACATTTTGCTACTCTCGATGAAGATTTGAGAACAGAAGCGGACGTGGATGAAATATTTTCGGTTACAGACGATAATGGTCACGTATTTTCTCCTGAAGAGAGTAAAATGACCTCGGAGAAATTAGAAATTGAATTCAGGCGACACACACCCGGAGAAACGCCCAGAAGACCTCCCAGAAAGAAGTCTGACTCTACTAGAAGCACATATTACAGTCTATCAGAAAATACTGAAAACACAGAACAAGCGGAGGGTAGTTTAGCGGGGGCTGCTGACCTAGACAGCGAATCTTACGGGGACTTTGAAAGCGCGCGAAGTTCTGATCTTATTAGCGAACACGAAAAAGCTTTCCAAGTTGCCGCGATTACAGAAACTACCAGTTTTCAAGGAGAAAAAGAACGGGAGCCGATATCGCCACAGACAGCACACGAAATCGGTTCTGATTTGAGAGTTAACAAGTTAGACGAAGACGTGAACAGGCCACGAAGGAAAAGAAGATTCGGAAGACAATCTTCACAAAGTTCTGATTCATCAGCCAGTAGTTTAAGAAGAATAGAAGAAAGGGTAGAAATCCAACTTCCTAGAGATATTTTAGGAGAAGAAGAAGATGGTTTGAAAGTTCCTCAAACTACAACTGTAGAAGATAAACAGCATCTACGCGAGAAAGAGGTGGAATTAGCGAATCGACTGCAAGAGAAGTTGAACGAAATAGAACAAAAATTATACGAAGCTGAAGAAAAGTTATTTGTACAGTCTGCCTTAAAATCCTCATCAGCAGCGGCCAATAGGAGCTCAGAGCTATTAAAGAATATCCTCCAAGCCGTTCTCGATATCAAAACATGCTCGTCCACATTATACCAAGAAGGCAACCAGAGAGATCAACTGTCAATGGTAGAGCTTGTGGCGCCTCCAATATTCGAACTTCAAAAGAGTTTGGCAATAATCGAAAAGTGTATGGAGATAAAGGGCAAAGAGCATACCTTAATACATAGAACTTGTTACAACGTTTTGGATATGGCAGGTGAACCTATCCAAAATGCATTGCACTTGATAGAGCGCATGTCGCTGTTAGAAAAGAAACAAGTACTAAGCGACAGTAAGAACGTTGCCGAAAGGGCCTCCTCGTTTAAATTGATCGAAGAGGTTATAACTACCCTGCAGGAAATGAGAAACAGTGTCGGAAAATCAAGGTCCGCAATGAAGGACAAAGCACCCAAAACCCTGGACGAGGATATTTCTGCAGAGAGAAAAGGCAGCGAAGCTTTAGAAGAAGAGGCACCCATTTCTTTATCCGAAACCAAATCGACTGTTGATGTACTAGACAAAACTTATCAACAAGCTTACAAACTCTACAATAGCATAAAGACTGTGGAAGAGGAATTAGCTGCAGCTGAACAAGCAGAACAGAAACCAATTTTAAAAGAATTCGTACTGACTCAATTAGCGGAACCTATTGAGTTACTGGAACGTGAAGTTCAAGTAGTGAAAAATTGGGAAGCAAGATATTCTGGCATAAGGACGTCAGTTACCCAAGAACACTGTTCAGCATTATTAGAGCAAATAAGTGGACCTTTGGAAGAGATTTCTAAAACTATAAACACTATAAAGGGTTCTTCTAAAGAAGAATTGCAGTTTTCAAGCGTCTCCAGGGCTCTTCTCGAATCATTATCAAGAGCATCAGAAGAAATAATTACATCAATATGTACAATGCAACAATCCGTTCAGTCAATTGATGTGGAAGACGAATCGGAAAATTTATCCGAAAAAGTTGTTCAAGACGTTTTCGACCATGTAGCCCAAATAGTAACGCAAAACGTCAGTCATTCTGTGAGTGATCTTCTTGTAAACATAGAAAATGCAGAATGCACAGTAAACAGCACAGTGGTATTGGAAGGGTTACGACAATTGGCCAGTTTACAAAAAGATTTTGCTTCTCTAATTGAAAAGACAAGCGGTTTAAAAACTGAGAACACAGTAAAGACTTTGGAAAACCTGTCTCACTCTCTCGACATTCTTAACAACACAATAACAGATATAACTCGGGATTCCGGATCGGAAGTGTTCGACGACATCGTGGCAGCTCTGAGCATTATTGAAGAAAACATACCAACAGAAATGCCAGAAAATCGCGACGAAAATAAAATATTTTCAACACTAAACAAACGTATAAAGAAAATTAAAGACAATATTTGTCAATTAGACGTTTCATTCAACGTTGCTAGTGGACTTAGTCAAATTGTGGAGACACAGGAGGAGACCCAAGCTCCTGGAGAATCTACCGCAGAAGAAGATCAGTACCGCGCCGTCAGACGAACCTCTTTGCATGACATCAATCAACGGATAGAAAAAATACAAAAACTTCCAATCATCGAAATGATTTCGAAAACAGAAACAATTGAAAATATTCAATACGCTAAAGCGTTGGTTCAACCAGTTATTGAACTAGAGAAAAGTTTAGTTGTGTTAAATCAAGACAGTTTCGATGAAACTGTCGGAAGAATCAGTCCCGAATTATTCCAGGAAGCAACTGAGGTGATCCAGTGCGTCGAAAAATTAAAGGATACCAGTTTATTCCAACAAACCGAAGAGCCGATTATAACAGTCGAAAACATACTCGAAATACGTAATTTATCTGCTTCGTTACAAAAACTAAATATGGAAATAGCAAACGTAAGAAAACTGAACGAAGAACGGGACAGTATTTTCAATACTGTGGCCGAAATTTTACGGGAAATTAAACATAATTCCCTTCAACGTCCAGATCTTCAAGAGGTCGTGGACAACGCTATAGAAATCGTCAACTTGGAGCGTCACAACTATGACATCAAAAACATTTCAGAACTAAAAACTATAATAAGTCCTCTAAACACATTAAAAGCTTTTATTTCAAGTGATATTATAAAATCATCCCCTAACAGTGTTGCAATACAAGTAATGTCTTTTCTACGATGCGTAACCGCGGTTAAAAATCCATCGTTAAAACATATTACGTTATCTCTGAAATACATAGGCGACAAATTAATAAAAATTTTGGAAGAAACTCAGCAGAAATCCACCGAAGATGATTTCAAATTTATAATGCTCAACGCTTTACAAAATTTAAACGAGGTTCTCCGAAATGTCGAACTACAAGCGAAAGTGAAAACACTGATACACGTTGTAAACAATTTAGATTCCGCTATTGTTCATCACATTAACGAGGCGGTCAATATAAACCGATTTATATTCATGATGGGAAAATTAGCTTTAGCTGTTCAACAAATTAACCAACCAGGTAATGAAATTCTGATTCACGAAATAAAAGGAATATTGAACGAACTAAGAATTTGCATAACAAACATGAACAAGCAAAATGCATTTTACGTTACTTTAGACGAATTAATTAAAGGATTCGAAGGAATTTACACTAAGAAGAGTGAAATAGTGTCATTAGAAAAACACGTTCTAATGTTTATTAACAGTTTGCAAACGTTTTGTGAAACGACGTATGTTGAATCGTCTTCGAAACGTCAACTTAACACTGCGTGTAAAAACTTACTTTCAATTTTGTTGAATGAGTTAAAACAACTTCCGGATTTAGAAAGGAAGCTAATAGGAAACGAATACGTTATCGATAAATTCGTCGATTTGTTACTGTGTTTTAAGCTGTATCTGGAAGACGATACCGTTTCATGTGAAGAACTGCGAAACAAACTTCTGGAATGTTCTCAGAAAGTTCCGTTACAATTTGAACCGATTACCAACTTTATAAACAATCTAACTCACGCAGCAAACAGTATTGCAGATGCAGAAAGCGAGAAAACTATCATACTACTTTCGGTGGCCGACACAATACAATTGTTATGCGAAAATATTGACAAAATTGATTTCCCAGATATGAACAAAAATTTGAACAAAACGTTTCAAACATCGCTACATCAGTTGCAGACTGCAATACAGAATCTTATACTAGTTGATCTAACGACAACAGATGTTCATATTGTTGAAGAAATAAGACTTATTTTCAAAAATTTAAACGAAGCTATATTGGAATGCTTATCGAAAATAGAAGAAGAAACTGACGAATCTTCTACTGCAGATTTGGAAACTATTTCTAAAACAGTTTCCAAATTACGACCTTTAAACGCAGCTGTTGAAAATAATCTAAATCTGTCTTCTATATCTCCACCTTTGAAGCTCACATTACATGAAGTTCCGAACATAACAAAACAGATCGAGCTTCTACAATCGTTTAAAGTAAGGACAATAGTTTTCGAAGCGAACATCGTTGAGCCAATGGAAGAAATTAGAAAGGTCCTCAAGTATGGTGACGACCAACTCAAGGCAGAAGTAAAAGACGTTCTAAGCGTTGTGGAAGGAAACGTCCAGTACTTTAAAGAAAACTTTCAAAACTTATCAGAAGACGAAATTAAGATAGTAAATTTGCTGCAGCAAGGTTTGGGTAATTTGCAAAAGTCGTTGAGCGAACCATCATTGTTGATATGCCAAAACAATATATTAATTTTAAAACAACTGGAAACATTATGCTATGGGAAATCGCATTTGGAAAAGGTTTCATGCTTGTTCCAAAGTCTTATTAAGTTGATCGACGGATCTGCTATAGAAAAGACTATTATAGAACAGCAAATACAGCAAGAGCAAGTAGAAACTCCTACAGCAACGGAAGCAGTAGAGGAATCCTTAAAATCCACAGAAGCTGGAATTGTGTCACAGTCTGAATTGGCAAAAGAAATTCCCGTACATCTGAGTGAAAATGTTGAATCGTTACTACGAAGTATTCCTAGACTACAAATGTTTGTGACGAGCAAAGCAAAATCAGCAGCACTGTCAGAAATTTCCAAACACATATCCATTATTTATCCGCTAATAGTTGACGTGGACATAAATAAAATCACAAAGGTAGAAAGCGCTGTAGTAACAGAATTGGAAAGAGCAATAGAACAAACACTCGAAGCAATCAGTATGGTTAATAACTCTGAAAGTTTACGTCTGCTACACTTTAAAGAAACATTGCAGAGCTTTGAAATTATTAAAAATTCGTTAGGAGAAAATAAAATAAAGGAAATTGTTAATGAATTTTTAGAAATTCATCGCCTATTAGATGTAATAGGTGAAGCAACCGAAAGTCAACAAGAAACCGTTGAAGAGTCGGATTCGCCGAGGAAAGATAGTAAAATGCCGAAAGGGCAAAAGACAGAAGAATGTATACAAAATGAGGAAATAATTGAGACGATGGAAGTGAACAAGGAAGTTGAAATTCATAAAGAAGAGACACCGGGGATCTTTAGGGTTCAAGTATCTACTACAGAAACTGTTGTTGAAAAGAGACAAGTGCAAAGTCAAGAAATTGTGAGAGAATTTGAAGAAACATTTAAACAAGACACTCGAGAAGCAGAAGTACAAACAGAAAAAGAAGCAGCTGAAGTCCATACAATAATTAAAACTGAACAATCAGGACCATTAGCAAAAGAAATACAGATAGTCGACGTTAGTACAAGCACACAAACACCAATAGTGGTTGAAAAAGAGGAAGCACAATACATTAATATTGTTTCAAGCGATGTAAAAGTGGATAATATCAATAGATCACTACAAACGTGTGAAATTACAGAAATCACAGATTATGACGAACCTAAAGAAGAGACTGCCGAAGATATTAAAGCTGTCGAATTCCAAAAATTAACCAAAATAGAAAGTGAACAGTCAGAACCTTCAATACAAGAAGTGCAGATAACTGATGTTAGTACATCTGATTTACAAAAGGCAACAGTTGTTGAAAAAGGAGAGGCAAAATATATCAGTATTGTATCTAGCGAATTAAGAGTAGACGATTTTAGTAAATCACAAACATCTGAAATTGAAGATGAATCTAAAGAAAGGAAACCTACAAATGAAGGACTACTGGATGTTCAAAAATTAACCATAGAAGAAACTAAAAAGTTAGAACCTGTAACAGCAGAAGTTCAGATAACAGACGTTAGTACAGCTAATTTACAAACGGCAATATTTGTTGAAAAGAGAGAAGCCCAATATGTTAACATTGTATCAAGTGAAGTAAAAATAGATAGTACAAGTGTACTAAAATCACAGGTATGTGAAATTATCGAAACCAAACAAGACGAAAATCAAAAGATAGCCAGAGATGTGGCAGGAAAAGAAAGTAAATCTGTCAAAATAAAAGAAATTCCTGCCAGACTGACAGAAGAAGTTGAACTATTCTTAAGGTCTTTGTCAAAACTTAATAAATTATCCCTCGACAAGGATCAAAATTTATTATTAGCTGAAATTTCAAAAAGAGCTTCACTTTTATTCTCTCAGATAGTGGATTTAGACTTATCAATGCTCACAGATTTCGAATTAGACGTTATAAATCAGTACGAAGAACAGTTACATATAATTACTGAAAAAATAAGTTCTATAACTCGTACTGAAGACGTAAACTCCTCCTATTTCAAAGAATGCGAAGAAAAATTACAAGAAGTAGGCAAACGTGTTCAGAATTTAGAACTTATTAACGCAGGAAATACGTTAATCAACATTATCAAGAATTTTGAAGGAATATTTGAGAAAACCAGCGTAATGTTGCAAGAAACCGTCGAAACAGTAGAAGTAAAAGAAGAAATTGAAACAAAAGAAATTCCATCACGTTTAATCGAATTGGTAGAAAAACTTTTAATGTCGGTTTCTCGTTTACACTCATTAGTAAAGACGGAAAACCAGAAAATTGCTTTGAGTGATACTATAAAATTACTGTCACTGCTATTTTCAGATATAGCAAATATTGATCAAAAAAAGTTATCGATCGACGAAAGAAATTTAATACATAGCATTGAAAATAACTTCAGCGACATAAATGAAAATATGGAGTCACTACAAAACCTACAGAACATAAATAAAACTCATATCGATGCCGTTTTAGAGAAAATAGAAAATGTAATTGGAAAACCTCAATTTACTGCAACATCGAATTTTGTCCTTTTAGTACGAAATATTTGTCAACGTCTTAATGAACTCCAGAAGGAAGTTGCCGACGATGCGCCCAAAACAGCCGAATTAGTATTAGAGGAAACGGAAGTACCTTCCGTTAAAGTGGAAGTGAAAGAAATTCCGCAACAATTAAGTGAACAAACTGAGTCCTTATTAATGACACTGCCTAAATTGTACAGACTTTGTGTTAACGAAAAACAAAAGATATTAGTTGCAGACATGATCAAAAATGTCTCTAACCTGTTCTCTATGGTTGTAGACGTTGATATAAGATCGTTAAATGAAACTGAAACAAGAGCCATCAACGAAAGCGTAAAAATTGTGTTTGATACAAAGAACGCTTTAAGTTTTTTAACCGACATAAATTCTATGGATATGGCATTGTTTGAAGAATTTATAAACAAATTGGAGTTGATAAAAGTATCAGTTAAAGACTCTTCTATTATTAGCAGCATTATTGAATTGCTGATAAAAATATATCAACCATTAGCTACTCTCAAATCAGAGGAAGTATATTCTGAAGTTGCTCAAGAAGAAACCACAACAGAAACGTTAATAGAGTCGCAAGAGATACCAACAAACTTGAGTGAAAAAATCGAATTGTTGCTTCGGTCTTTGCCAAAACTACAACAAATTAACATTAATCAGACACAAAGGTCAATTTTAAGCAATACGGTAAGGCAAGTGTCTTCCTTATTTTCTTGTGTGGTGGATATTGATCTAAAGACACTTTCGCCGCAAGAAAGGGATATACTTCAAGTAATAGAATCAAATTTAGAAGAACTTAATAATGTCATTAATTCATTAAAGACTGCTGAAGATGTACAGATGTTGGATTTAAATAAATTTAAGCAAACAATAGAGAACCTGAAGAGTTCCCTACCAACCTCTAAATTAAACGACATTTTTAATCAACTGGAAGTTCTAATACAACTATTGCATACCGTAAGCAGTTCGGCGCTAGAGATGGAAGCAGAAAAATTGCAGGAAGACGTTGAACAAAAAGATATAGAAGTAGTAGAAGAAAAGCTGAAGGAAATTCCTACAGCATTAATTGAGCAAATAGAAATTTTAATGAGACGGTTGCCAAAACTTCACAACATTGTGGTCAATAAACGTCAAAAAGCTTCCATAAGTGAGGGCCTTCATATTTTGGGTTCACTTTTTTCTATTGTAGCTGATATTGATTTGAGAGAGCTAAATGAAGAAGAAGTGGCGGTAATACACGAATTTCAACAAAGAGTTGAAGTGGTCAATAATATAATACAGAAATGTGAAAATGTTGAAGAACTAAAAAAGGAAGAAATAAAATTAGAAGTTAATGAATTTGAAAAACATCAGCAAATGTTTAACGAAATCAGAATAAACGAAATGATTCAATTGTTTAAGAGGATTTATAATATGTTGTTGGATATTTGTGAGACTGAAACTGATAAAGAAAGTCCAAAACCAATAGAATTTGCAGAGCAAGAAGTGGAAACAAAAACTGAAATAATAATTCCCGTTCAATTAAGCGAGCAAGTAGAAATACTGCTACGCTGTTTACCAAAATTGCAACGCGATCTAAACGAAAAGCAGAAGGCTCATTTGAGTGAAATAGTAAAACATATTTCTACATTGTTTTCTACAGTTGTAGACATAGACCTTAACACTATATCAGATGCTGAAATATCCGTTGTTAAAGAACTAGAAGGAATCTTGACTGAAACCAACAAAAATTTGCAAAAAATTGAAAGTTTAAATGAACTCGAAAAAGACTCCTTAAAAGAGACACTTCATCGTCTAAACGAAATACAAGACCATAATAGAGACACAAAAGTATCTGAAGTCATAATTGCTGTAACTCACACTTACCAATGTCTCGAAATTATATGCGACGCGTTTACTTCAACAGAGATCATTCCTGTAGAAGTACCAGCCACTGAAGTTGTACAGAGAGAAGTTCCTGTTGAGTTAAGCGAACAAATTGAGGTATTAATGAGGTTACTTCCTAAACTACAACGTTATATCACTAGTGAATGCCAGAAATCTGATTTGAAGGAAATATTTAAGGCACTATCAAATGTATTTGCTACCCTGCCAGATATTGATAAAAAGATTATATCAGATGACGAACGCAATGTAATAGATGAGCTTGAAAGACGTCTACAACAAACCAACGTTATCATTGATTCGATGCAAACAGGAGAAAAACTGAATTTATTAGACTTTAGAAAAACATTAGACGACATTGAAGAACTTAAGCCTAAAGTATCAGATGTCAAAGTAACAGAAGTTGTAAATACTTTACAAGTCTTATATAAATCCTTGCAAAGTATTTGCCACTTTGAAGAAGAAACTGTCGCTGCAACAGTTCCTACTGAGGTTGAAATGCCAAAAACCGAAACCATAAGCATCCCAGAAAATCTAAACGGCGAACTTGAACGCCTTCTCCGCTCTACTCCAAAACTACAGAAATTTGCGAAAGAGAAGCAAACCAAAGCCAATCTTCAAGAAGTCGCTAAAATCATTTCGCTTTTATATTCGGTAATTGCTGATATTAATTTAACAACAATTTCTACTGAAGATAAGGAGTTTATATATTCGCTTGAAACAATATTCTCCGATATCAACGAAGCAGTCGAACACCGATCAGACAATGTGGATGATTATCTTCAAAAAATTGACATGACTTTGCACAGATTAAACACAAAGTTGAGTTCTATTCAGGTCACCTCATTGACAAATGTTGTGGAATCTTTGACCAAATTATACGATATTTTAGAGAAAACAGTAGGACTAATGAAGAAGGAACATGATGAGAGAACATTGCCAGAAAAAGTAGAAGAGATCATACCAAGGGACATTGGCGAGACTTTTAAGGAAGAGGAGGAGGTAGCAAAGAGAAAAGTTGAAACGATAAAACGAGAAGCAGAAGATGCTGATATATCTTTGTTACATTCTCTTCGTACATTGGAGGCAAACATTTTGGAAATCAATACACAAAACTTATCTGAAAATCAAAGAGTATCTTTAACGGAAATAGAAAACTCCATGCATCTACTTGAGGACGCTACGAATCAAGTGTTAACGAAAACACTAACCGAAGAAGAAAAGGAAGCTGTAGCAGTTTGCGAAAGGGCAATACTAGAATTATGCCAGTTCTTGCAACAATCCCAAGGCGACCAACCTCAAATTGATACAGTTAAAGTAACGGCAGAATCAATCAGATTGACGATTATTGGAGTAAGCGAAGAATCTGAAGTGAGGCCGTTGTTGGAACAATTGGAGAAGACAACCAAAAACGCAATCAATTTGATAGAGAATATACCGCAATATGACAAAGAGCTTGCCCTAAAAATCTTAAAAGACTTCAGGTTCAATATAGAAAACGTCATCCAGGTGCTATCAGAAAAAGTACCTCTAAATATTCGAAAGAAGTGTTCCAATGAAGTAGACGAGTTGGTCAGATCATCGGAAATTTTAAGAGATTCTTTGAAATCAGACTCTATTGTTAATGGTCAGACTGTCCCGGTTATTCACAGCGGAAACAACATTGCATTTCTTATAGTCAAGTATCTATCTACAATCTGGAAGAAAAATGTAACAGAAATCGAGAATAAAGAATTCATAGATACGCTGAGGAATCAACTAGTTGACATAAAGGTAGCGGATGTCGAAGAAGTATCGCGTGATCTCGTCAAAAACTTGGAGACTGTCGTACTTCACGTAGAAAACCTCCTGAAAAAGTTGGAGGACGAAATTCAAACTAAACAATGCCGCATTAAACAATTCAAAAGTAATTTACAAAATGTAAAGAGTGACATAAAATTAAACGAGGGAGAAGAAAAGGCAACCAAAGCAATAGTGACTGATTTGAATCGGCCTCTGAACGTATTCATTTTTGTTGCCAACACTTTAACCGAAAAGTTAACAGAATTAACAGACGAGAACGAAACTCTAATCGAATCTATATCCGACATCATATTAAAATTATATGCCGAATCGCAAAAAGTAAAAAGTAATACAGAAAAAATCAATTTATATTCAAAAACACTAAAAACCATATTTGAAAGTATAAATGAAGAATCGCTTCTTAAAGACATGCGAGAACCTCTACAGGATCTTATAATTTTTGCTGAGAAACTGGAAAAAATACAAGAAAAAGAAACCTCTCGCAGAGAAGAGCTATTTCATAGGCTCTCATCATCCATAGAACGTTTAATGAAACCTTTAAGCTTAATAAGAATCGAAAATGTTCAAAACAAAAGACTGTTGGTACTTACAGAATTGCACAAACCACTGCAAGCTATACTATCCACGGCTTCTGATTTAACGGAAACTATTTCTGATGGAACAATACGAAAAGTTAATGAAATTATCAACATAATTGACAACCTAGAAGGACAACTTACTAAAACGGAAGTTAACGAAAACGAATGCGATCAATATTTGCAGGAACTGAAACAAACTGTTACAGAAATGGAGTTCGTAAACGAAGCAGAAAAAGAGGAAGAATTAGAGGAATCTGGCCTTTATCAAGCGATCGAAGATCTTCATACGGCGGTAGACCTTTCTCATGTAGTTTTAGAAAAACCAGAATTAATTGAGACCGTGAGTGAGCTACGATGTATTCGTTTACCGTTGAAAAAATTATTAAGATTCATACTCACAGTTAAGCATGAAAAGGACGAACTAAACATCTTATCTGGATTTCAGAAACCACTTCTTTTGCTTCAAGAGAAACTGACTGAATTTTGTGATGCCAAGTTAGCAACAGACGAACAATTAATTTTAGAAAGAATAGGTAAAGCCTTCGAAAGTTTGACTCAGATTGGAGAAACAATCGATTCATCAAGTATATGCTTAGAAGACTTTGCAGAACCTTTAGATAGTTTGCAATACACTATTTTATCTGTTTGTGGCCAGGCTGTGTTAGAAAAAGATACTGAAAGTGAAAATGAATCTGTACTTCAAAAGGTAGTTGAACCCCTGGAACAAATTCTAAAAGTGATAATCACAATGAAAGACGATCGAAGTGAAAAACAGGAGATACTTCGACTTCTCAGTGAAATCAATATGGAGACAGAAATACTTATTTCAGATACGAAAGAGACCAACTACTTGGTACCATTTGAAAATGTATTAAGGACAGTACGTTTGTCTACAAGCTCAATATTGGGAAAATCTGATTTAAATACCCAAGAGTTACGCAAAATTTTTGAATTATTTAAAGAAGTTGTGCCAACTGAATCTATTCAAGAGACTGATGAAATAGCTAGACACCTTCAGCGAATTAAAAAAGCTTTAGCAGACGACCTTACGGATCAAACCGCTTATGCCAACATATTGCAACTGATTCTCGATTTTGTTAAATGCCTTAAACCAGAACTGCCGCTTACTGCAAAGCCAGGAAACGTTTCTGTCACAAAGGATACATTAATACAATTAATTAGTGCAATAGAAGAACGTACTAAAGCTCATCAGCTGACAGTAGACCAAGTGCCAACCATAACGAGAGCACTATCCCGTTTAGAAAGTCCATTTAAAGAATTGCTTAATAAATTAGAACAAACTGAAGGCTCATACAATACCGACGAAACATTTTTGAAAAATTTAAGCAATGAACTAACTAAATTAACGTCCCTCATTACGGATATTGCTGATACTTCCAAACCGCTGCTTAAGACATTACTAGAAGTAGAACTCGAAGAAGTGTTGAATGATATTATTCAAACTATTACTGCATCACCTACAAATATACCAATTAGCCAAGAACTAGAAACTATTAAAAACGAAATATTAAAATTCCAAGAAGAAAACAAAGTATTAAAGAGCCTCACTAAGGTAAATATCAACACCATAACCAAAGAACTCGTGAAACCTGTTATAGAAGAAACAGAAATTGAAGAAGATAAGATAATTCAAATACAAAACGTGATTACTGAAAAGCTTGCTCAAATTGAAAATCTTAACTTAGATCAAGAAAATCAGACAGAAGCGGATTCCATTAAATCACTTGTACTCAGATTAGTTAAGGCGGTAAATGACATTTACACTCTCATTCACCACCCAACACTACTTCTGAAGCAAAAACAAAAAGTGCAACGAGTCCTATGTAATATAACCAATGAAACGAAACAATTAAAAGACTCATTACCACAAAACCAAGAATCAAACAATCTAAAGCAGACCATGGATATATTACTGAGTATGATTGACGAAATTCAACTAAAAATACAAGAATTGTGTCAAAACACCCAGCAATTCATTCAACAACACGAAGAAGAAATATTACTTGGACCAGGTAAGCAGGACTTAGAGTTACAACAAGAGGCAGTAGAACGGCCGTCTACAAGTGAAGAACACATGCCAGCCCTAATTTCATTCTCAGATGTAGAAAACCTGGAAACATCATTAAAAGAGCTTAACGAAAGCCTCAATCCCATCAAAAATACAAACCAAGCACCAACCGCCACAAAAAAAGACGTAAAAAGCACAATTTTAAACATCAACTCACAACTGCAAAAACTAATTACAAAATTAACGTCAACCTCTAAATTACTGCAAACAGCAAACGTGTCAGAAATTGAATGCGTTGAAATAACAACGGCTGTGACCGCACTAAAAAGTGCAATCACGAAGCTTTCTATAATTGCGGCAGCAACAGAATCCGCTAAAACACTACAACAGCCTCTTAAGTCGCTGCAAATTTCATTGGCAATTCTCGAGGAAAGCATGAATGAAAAACCGGCCGAAGGCAAGAAACAAAAAGAGACAGTCGATACCTCTACAGGACTCAAACAACCGCTGATTAGCCTACAAATGAAAGTGGAATCCCTTAAAGGTGTAGTTAGCGAAGTCACATTGAAGGCTCCCGAACAAGGCCAAATCGACTTTAAAGCCCTGGAGGCGCCTCTGGGTGAACTGGAAACTGCGCTGGCACAGGTAGAAAAGATCGACGAATCTACGAAGGTATCCGAGGCTGATAAAGAGAAGATTGTAAAAATCAAACCCCAATTGGAAGAGCTGAATACAGTCTTGACGAGCTTCACCGAGGCAGCGCAAACCGCTACTGTTTCCGATGTAGAAAAAGCAAAAGCGCAAACTGCTTTGTCGGCGTTGAAGGGTGCAATTGAGAAAGTGTCTGTAATAGCGCCGGAATTAAAATCCGCTAAATTCCTAGAACAACCTCTCAAGTCTCTGCAGGCTTCATTGACAATTCTCGAGGAAAGCATGAAAGAGAAACCGGTTGAAGACATGAAACCAAATGAGGGAACTGATACCGCTAAAGGACTCAAACAACCGCTAATCAGTCTGAAAACGAATGTGGAATCCCTTAAAGGTGTGGTTAGCGAAGTCACAATGAAGGCTCCCGAACAAGGCCAAATCGACTTTAAAGCCCTGGAGGCGCCTCTGGTTGAACTGGAAACTGCGCTGGCAGAAGTAGAAAAGATCGACGAATCTACGAAAGTATCCAAGGCTGAGAAAGAGAAGATTGTAAAAATCAAACCCCAATTGGAAGAGCTGAACACAGTCTTGACGAGCTTCACCGAGGCAGCGCAAACAGCTACTGTTTCCGATGTAGAAAAAGCGAAAGCGCAAACTGCTTTGTCGGCGTTGAAAGGTGCAATTGAGAAAGTGTCGGTTATAGCGCCGGAATTAAAATCCGCTAAATTCCTAGAACAACCTCTCAAGTCTCTGCAGGCTTCATTGACAATTCTCGAGGAAAGCATGAAAGAGAAACCGGTCGAAGACAAGAAACCAAAAGAGGAAACTGATACCGCCAAAGGACTCAAACAACCTCTAATCAGTCTGAAAACGAATGTGGAATCCTTGAAAGGTGTGGTTAGCGAAATCACAATGAAGGCTCCCGAACAAGGCCAAATCGACTTTAAAGCCCTGCAGGCGCCTCTGGTTGAACTGGAAACTGCGCTAGAAGAAGTAGAAAAGATCGACGAATCTACGAAGGTATCCAAGGCTGAGAAAGAGAAGATTGTAAAAATCAAACCCCAATTGGAAGAGCTAAATACAGTCTTGACAAGCTTCACCGAGGCAGCGCAAACAGCTACTGTTTCCGATGTAGAAAAAGCGAAAGCGCAAACTGCTTTGTCGGCGTTGAAGGGTGCAATTGAGAAAGTGTCGGTAATAGCGCCGGAATTAAAATCCGCTAAATTCCTAGAACAACCTCTCAAGTCTCTGCAGGCTTCATTGACAATTCTCGAGGAAAGCATGAAAGAGAAACCGGTCGAAGAAAAGAAACCAAAGGAGGTAACTGATACCGCCAAAGGACTCAAACAACCTCTAATCAGTCTGAAAACGAATGTGGAATCCCTTAAAGGTGTGGTTAGCGAAGTCACAATGAAGGCTCCCGAACAAGGCCAAATCGACTTTAAAGCCCTGGAGGCGCCTCTGGCTGAACTGGAAACTGCGCTGGCAGAAGTAGAAAAGATCGACGAATCTACGAAGGTATCCAAGGCTGAGAAAGAGAAGATTGTAAAAATCAAACCCCAATTGGAAGAGCTGAATACAGTCTTGACGAGCTTCACCGAGGCAGCGCAAACAGCTACTGTTTCCGATGTAGAAAAAGCGAAAGCGCAAACTGCTTTGTCGGCGTTGAAGGGTGCAATTGAGAAAGTGTTGGTAGCAGCGCCAGAATGCAGATCCGCTATATTCCTGGAACAGCCTTTGAAGGCTATGATAGCTTCGCTTGCAATTATTGAGGAGAATCTATTAGCCGGGCCAGTCGATGAGATAGAATCCACGAAGGAAGTTGAGAATGCTTTGAAACGTTTTAGTGGCGCAGTGCTTCGGCTGAAGAAGAATATTTCCGAAGAGCGTGAAGGAGACGCTGACGTAGGCGGTCGTTTTTGTGAACCACTTTTATCATCATTATTTGAAATAGATTCTTTATTGAGAGAAGATATGGCGGTAAAACGGATTGTACTCGGTGTATTCAAGGAGCAATCTTTAAGTGTTCATGAATTGCTATATAATTTGCATGACTTAAGTAAATCGTTCTCGGAATTAGGGCAACTTTTGGAAGGTGCTCGTATATCCGGAGTTGAACGCTTAAGGGTTGGATTATCGGCGCTAGTGAATGCTACTGATTCCATGGTAAAGATTTCTTCGGCGTGTTCATCCCTTAAGAGTCTATGTATTCCACTAAAATCGTTGAGTTTTGCTTCTTCCGAGGTTATTGATAGCATAAAGAGTACGAAGAAAAAGGTGGAGGGACGTCAACGTGATTTGGAGATCAGTAAATTAATGGAGACTCTGTTATCATTCTGTGAAGATGTTGTTGCTGTGAAAAAAGATCTATGGAAGCTTCAGGAACGTTTACCGGAAATTGTATCACTAGATTTATTGAAAACTCCTTTAACTTACTTAGAAGCAGAGTTGATGGGTGTGGTAAACGTTATCAGGGAGGGCAACTTTTGTGAAGTTTCTGAAACAAAATTAGCAAACGGTCACTCAACCGTATGTGCCCTAGCCAAATCATTAAGAGTGGTAACGGAATTAACGCGTACTAGAATCTCAGAAAAATGTAATTATAAGGAAATCAACGAAGCGTTAGTTGAATTGAGGAACAACACTGAGAATGTAACGACATTAAGTGAAATTAAAGAGCTCAAGTCTCTCTGCCAACCACTGAATGACTTAAAGAATTCCCTTACCAACGTCATTAATATTTTTGAAAAAGCTGAACATCAAGAAACGAGAAGAAAAGAACTTAAAAGTCATCTTCTAAGTTTATGTGAATCAGCAAACGTTTTAGAAAAGAATATAATTATGTGTAATAGAAAATATTCTCTTAATAAGCTTCAAAAGGGTTTAGAAAATTATCAAAATATCATAAAAGAAATTGAAGTAATATTTGCATTAGATATTTATGATGATGAAAAGAAATTCTCAAAGTTATGCAAAGACATTGATAATGTCAGCGAAACATTCAAATTATCAAGTAAAAAGATTAAACCCGAAGATGCTTCTGATAAACTTCTATTAAAGATTTACGAGGTTTTGGACGAGGTAGGTAATGTGACAGAACAGTTTAGTAAAATCTCTGAAGTCAAAGAGATAGCACCTCTTGATAAATTTACAAGTTCATTGGGGCAATCCGTAAAGGAAACTCGTGATGACTTGAAAAATGTCGAAGAAGATAAGTGGAAATTGGATTCCTTGAAACAATTACAAAATGCTGTGAAAGATCTTAACACAAAATCGTCAACTTTCACCAAGACATTAAGCGAACACGATAAGTCAAAGAATATTATTGTCAATGCATTTAAAAGTCTTAAGCAAACATTAAAAGTCCTTGCGGATGCTGAATCTACAATTACAAAATTGGGGATTAAAGATTTCAAGTGGAATAAGGAAGATAAGGAAAATTTTTCGACCATTACAACCGAAATTAACAAACTGGAGCTCTTTTTTGAATTTGCCAACAACGTTATTACTAAATCTAAACTTTCAGAGAAAATAAGAGTTGATATCGAATGTAAACTCGATCTTGTCGAAGAGTCCATTAAATTGTTGAGTTCAGTTGTTCAAAAACCAGAATTAGCCTGTATTGAAAAACTTCTGGATTGTCTCAGATCTGCTATTCCGACAATTAAAGAATTTATTCGAAAACCTGACGAAAAAGATGAAACAGAAAATCAGGAAATAAGAAGAAAGAAACTTGCAGAACATCTTCTAAGTTTATGTGACTCGACAAAAGCCTTAGAAGAATGTATGACTAAAATGAAAGTGGTTTATCCGCTTGACAAACTTCAAAAAGGATTAGAAAGCTATCAAAGTGCTCTAAAAGGGATTGAGATAACAGCTTCTTCGAATATTTGCTCTGATGAGAAGAAATTCTCAAAGTTATGCAAAGACATTGATAATGTCAGCGAAACATTCAAATTATCAAGTAAAAAGATTAAACCCGAAGATGCTTCTGATAAACTTCTATTAAAGATTTACGAGGTTTTGGACGAGGTAGGTAATGTGACAGAACAGTTTAGTAAAATCTCTGAAGTCAAAGAGATAGCACCTCTTGATAAATGTACAACCTCATTGGGGCAATCCGTAAAGGAAACTCGTGATGACTTGAAAAATGTCGAAGAAGATAAGTGGAAATTGGATTCCTTGAAACAATTACAAAATGCTGTGAAAGATCTTAACACAAAATCGTCAACTTTCACCAAGACATTAAGCGAACACGATAAGTCAAAGAATATTATTGTCAATGCATTTAAAAGTCTTAAGCAAACATTAAAAGTCCTTGCGGATGCTGAATCTACAATTACAAAATTGGGGATTAAAGATTTCAAGTGGAATAAGGAAGATAAGGAAAATTTTTCGACCATTACATCCGAAATTAATAAACTGGAGCTCTTTTTTGAATTTGCCAACAACGTTATTACTAAATCTAATCTTTCGGAGAAAATAAGAGTTGATATCGAAAGTAAACTCGATCTTGTCGAAGAGTCCATTAAATTGTTGAGTTCGGTTGTTCAAAAACCAGAATTAGCCTGTATTGAAAAACTTCTGGATTGTCTCAGATCTGCTATTCCGACAATTAAAGAATTTATTCGAAAACCTGACGAAAAAGATGAAACAGAAAATCAGGAAATAAGAAGAAAGAAACTTGCAGAACATCTTCTAAGTTTATGTGACTCGACAAAAGCCTTAGAAGAATGTATGACTAAAATGAAAGTGGTTTATCCGCTTGACAAACTTCAAAAAGGATTAGAAAGCTATCAAAGTGCTCTAAAAGGGATTGAGATAACAGCTTCTTCGAATATTTGCTCTGATGAGAAGAAATTCTCAAAGTTATGCAAAGACATTGATAATGTCAGCGAAACATTCAAATTATCAAGTAAAAAGATTAAACCCGAAGATGCTTCTGATAAACTTCTATTAAAGATTTACGAGGTTTTGGACGAGGTAGGTAATGTGACAGAACAGTTTAGTAAAATCTCTGAAGTCAAAGAGATAGCACCTCTTGATAAATGTACAACCTCATTGGGGCAATCTGTAAAGATAACTCGTGATGACTTGAAAAAAGTCGAGGAAGATATGTGGAAATTGGATTCGTTGAAACAATTACAAAATGCAGTGAAAAATCTAAAAGCGAAATCCTCAACCTTCAGCAAGACATTAACCGAACACGATAAGTCAAATAGTATTATTGTTAATGCATTTAAAATTCTTAAGCAAACATTAAAAGTCCTTGCGGATGCTGAATCTACAATTACAAAATTGGGAATTAAAGATTTCAAGTGGAATAAAGAAGATAAGGTAAATTTTTCGACCATTACATCCGAACTTAACAAACTGGAGCTCTTTTTTGAATTTTCCAACAACGTTATTACTAAATCTAAACTTTCGGAGAAAATAAGAGTTGATATCAAATGTAAACTTGATCTTGTTGAAGAGTCAATTAAATTGTTAAGTTCAGTTATTCAAAAACAAGAATTAATGTGTATTAAAATGTTCCTGGAATCTCTTCATTCAGCAATAGCAACCATTAATGAAACTATTAAAAAGCCGACTGAGAAAGAAGAAACACAAGACAATGCAACTAAGAAGCTTATTTCTCAGCTAACGAATGATGTAAATAATTGTCTAAAACACTTAAGTTTAACAAAATTATTTGTTTGTTTAAAAGATCCCCTTGAAGAATTTCTGAATTCTCTAAAAAAAGTTCAAGCACTTGATTCACGAGTTATTGATACTACAGAAAACAAATCGAATGTTAATAAGTTCAATAACGATTTAAAAGAATTGAGCAGCGCATTTGAATCTATTCAGAAACTCATTGAGCCTGGCAGTGCGACAGTGGATCTTCAACATAGTATTCAGAAGAACTTTGGGCGTTTAAAAGTTCATTTGGAAAATTCAGCGTCTGTTATCACGGTCTTGAGGAATTTTAAAGAAATGAAGAAACCTATTACTGATCTTGCAGCTTCAGTATCTACAGTAATTGGAAATTCAGAACGAATTTTAGAAATATCATCCGCCTTGTCGCAATCACTGGAAATTTTAATAAACAAAAATAAAAGTGTTAAGAAAACACTTTCTTCAACGCCTTCTTTTAAATTTAAAGAACTTATCGAACCTCTAACAGAGCTAGAAACATTAGATTTAAAACGGATTAACGAAAATAGTTTGAACTTGCTAAATATAAGCAAAGAAACTGTTACAAAAACTATCACAAAAATACACAATCTAGCACAAAATGTAGATGAATTAAACGAATTTATTAAAAGCTTCGATAAGACTCATTCTCCTAAGTTATGGAAGGATGAAAAGTTTGAAAATATAAGAAGTTCCATTACAAAATTAATAGAAGCACTGCCCGATGTAAATGCTATTAGTTTCATCGAAGTTCCACTACATTCACTTGACACCGTGATTTCCAATATCGAAAGAGAAATATTAATGACAAAAGAAATGTCGAAGGAAGAAGAAGCAAGCAAAGAAACTGTTCGAAGGTTAATAAGTATGATTTCCAAACTGGAGATAGAACTGAATGGTTTCAAAACATCCGTAAATTTGACCAAAGTAACCGTTTTACAAAAACATCTAAGGGAACCTTTGAATGATGTAGTGAGAATTTTGAAAGAAATTGCAGGATCGGAAAATGAGTTACACGCAGCAATATCTAAGAATAAACCCCTTATTGGAGAAATAATTGAAAATATTACAAAACTCACAGAAAGTGTGCAAGTAGCTAATTCCGAAATTAAATCATTTAAAGCCGACAAAGTAAGTCGTTCTAATATGAAATTCCTCCAAAATTTACAGAGTTGTCTTCAAGACACTAGTACAATTTTGTCTAAACTAACGGTTTTCGATTCGCTAGTCAAAGCTCAGAAAGTTCTATCCAATGCAATAAAACGGATACAGGATGAACCAACGAAGAAACCTACAAAAGATGAAGACAGCGAAAAATTACTTCCGCTCAAACAATGTTTAGAAATGTGGCAGTCTGAAACAGAAGCGTTTTGTAACACAATTCGCAAACTTAAATCTCCCCAGTTTGAACTTGATTTGTTAATAAAAAGTTTAGAAGAACCTGTTGGACAGCTCCAAATTGGAATCAAAACAGTCACTGACCATATGCAAAATATAAACGTACTGAAAAGAGAAGATATAACGAAAATAAAGAAATTAGTTGACAATATTAAATTTGCAGTAGAGGACGTGATCTCTTCTACGAGTTGTACTAACTCCATCGTCAGTACTATGAATTCATATCAGGTCAAAACACAAGAATTGCTATCTCCTTTCGAGGAAATGAGTTCAGTTATCCAAAATTTAAATAACGCATTATTAAATATAAACCTATTTAAAAACGTTACTGAACTTCAAGCAAAACTGGTCAGTTCAATTGATAATGTTTTAACCAATTTGAGGCAATCCGAAGTTAAAGAGACTGCACCTGATGACACTTATCAGATTCCAAAAGAAGAAACATCAACAGAGGCTGACACCGAAATTCAAATGCACAAAACTGCCGATGAAGATGGGAGTCATGCCCAAAAGGAAGAAAGACCTGTCGATATGTATAAAAGCAATGTAGTTTTGATTGAGGATGTGCAACATGGTCCAAAACTTCACGCTCAAAAACCAATATTTGTTAGTCCTTTGAATAACAGAAATGTTGCATCGGGAACTAGGATCAAATTAACATGTAGTGTCCTTTCATCTGAGCCGTTTGAATTAGAATGGTGCAAAAATGGTGAAACCGTTTCTAACAACAGCAATTACAACATAGAATATGATGATGGAATCGCCTCGCTAGAAATCCTTAATGCTACAACTGCAGACACAGGAGAATTTTCCTGTACGGCTAAAAACTATCACGGATTTTCCGTTACTAAGTCAAACGTTACAGTTTATGATACCGCCGAATCTTCCTCTGTATTAACATTCACACGACCCATCAAGTATCAATATAAAATTTCCCAAGATGAGCTCATTCTTGAATGCAAACTTAGAGGAAGACCGGCTCCGAAAATAACATGGTTCAAAGGGGGCAAAGAAATAAAAGATAACGAGAAATATAAACAGCAATATTTAGCAGACGGGATCTGTAGGTTGACTATTAGGCACCCAGAGCAAGACGATAACGATTTATACTCGTGTAACGCCGAAAACTCCTACTGGAATGAGCAAATATCTTACGAACTGGAATTCAGCGGCAGAGAAGATTATTTCAGTAAGAAGATGCAACACCTAGAAGTTCCGCAACGCTATAGAGACACGAAGAAACCGCATTTCAATACGGCCATGACAGATAGCATTGTTCCCGCCGGTGGAACTTTAGCTCTACAAGTTGCAGTAAAAGGAACCCCTAAGGATGTCCTCTGGTATAAGGGAAGTCGAATGTTACCGAAAACTTCAGCCAGACACAGAACTTTTGCCGAATCAGGAGTTCACACTCTCACATTTTCTAATGCCCTAGAAACAGATGTAGGAAAGTACACTTGCAGAATATTCAACGCATATGGCAAGGACGATATCTCTGCCTACGTTCATGTGGTACATCCGGGTTCGATCAGAAATGGAAAACCTGCCATGTTTCTATCAAGGCCCGATAAATATTTGACGGTCGCTTCGGGGGAAGATATCGTAGTTTCGTTTCGAGTTACGGGAGACCCAAAACCAAGAGGTAAAACTAATCAAGGTATAATGTACCGCCGATCTGATATTTTATCATTTTATTGCATGTAGTTACGTGGATGAAAGGTCTCAAAGACATCACCAACAGTTATAGAAGTTTGAAAGAAACCTCTGATGATTACGTTCGATTTACGTTCAAAAGGGCCACGATGGACGATCAAGGAACCTATTGTATAATGGCTAAAAATTGTTACGGTTGCGACAGGGCATTCTTCACCGTGCGCTTCAGGGAGAGGGCTAGATCAGCTACCCCTACCCTTGATAGCTTGGAAAATATTCTCTCAGACATCACCGACTCCTACAAAATGAGACAATTGCGAGGTATCTATTTCCTCAAAATCAACTAATATTATTAACTGTTTAATGTTAAAGTGGTTTAAAAGAGAAATGCAGTTTACTATCTAATATACATATTATATTGCTAAAAGTATGGAACGTTGAAGTATCTAATCAAATTATAACTAATTGAAAACTATTAATCAATTTAATAATGAGAGGATTACTGTTACATTTTTGCAGCTCATAATTTCGTTTTTACAGCTTAGTGAGTTTATATATATCAATC